CTCCCTTTGAGCACTTCCAGGGACAAAGCCTCACTTCTTGGTGACAAGCCATTCCACTGTGAATAGTCGTAGTTACTAGGATGTTTTATTTGTTAAGCTGAGCTCTTCCCCTGCCTTTACCTATAGCCTTAGTTCTCTGTATTGGGAAAAACAACTTTGTTCTATTTTCTGCATAATAATACCTACAGGTCATAAAACATGAGGTTTTCTTAAAGCCTTCTCTTTTACTGGCTCAAATTCCAATTATCCTTTCCTATATGACATGGAGTCTAGACCAGTGGTATTCAGTGGCCCTTTCTGCATTGATGGAAATGCTCTGTATCTGTGCTGTCGCCTGTGGTAGCTACTAGACACATGCATATTGAACACTTGAAATGTGGCTAGTATACTGAAAAGTTCCATTTTTAATTTTATTTAATTTAAAATTAAATAGCTACACATGGCCGGTGGCTGTTGTCCAGGACAGTACAGGTCTAGATTCTTAAAGTTGCCCTATTCATACATCATTAACTGTGACAGTGTAAAATGTGCCCAGACAAGATATTTGAGGTAAGTCCACCACAAAATACGGTGGGATCATGCCCATTGACCAGATTACTGGACATTAATGAAGCTTAAAATTGTGTTGACTTTTTAAGGACAGTGTTGTATTTTTGGCTCATATTGAGTTGTGGTCATCCAAGCTCCCCAGGTCTATTGTCATTTTCATGAGAATTTCTTTCACATAGGCCTTTTAAAAATGATTAATTAAATATTCAAAACACTTACCCCAACTTAATTTCTCTAATTGCTTCTAGACCATCATTTTAGTACATTGAGAGTTGTGGCATCATGATTCATCTAATAGATGATGTATACGTTTAATTCTAGGACATTCGCATTTGATCATTCCTACCTCTGTCCATGCTCATACGAATGTTGAGAGCACAAGGGCCACAGACCCAATTGCAGCCACTGGCAGCTTCCCTGTTTCTTTGTTAATTTTGATTCCATTGTAGTTAAGTACAGTGTTATATTAGCTTCAGGTGTATAATACAGTGATTCAGCAGTTCCATGTATTCCGCAGTTCTCATCAAGTTAACTGTACTCATAATTCCCGTGACCTATTTCACCCAACCCCCCACCCATCTCCCCTCTGGTGACCATCAATTTGTACTCTAAAGAGTCCTTGGTTTGTCTCTCTTTTTTCCCCTATTTGTTTTACTTCTTAAATACTACATATGAGTGAAATCATGAGGCATTTTTCTTTCTCTGGCTTATATTGCTTAGCATTACACTCTCTAGCTCCATCCATGTCATTCATTGCAAATGGCAATATTTCATTCTTATTTATAGCGGGGTAATATTCCATTGTGTGTATATGTGTGTCAGCTCTTTTTATCCATTCATCTATCAGTGGACTCTGAACTGCTTCCTTAATTTGGCTATTGTAAATACTACTGCAATAAACATAGGGGTGTTTTCATATTCTTTGGGTAAACGTTCAGTAGCACAATTAATGATTGGATTGTAGGGTAGTTCTATTTTTAACTTTTTAAGAACTTCCATACAGTTTTCCAGAGTAACTGCACCGGTTTGCATTCCCACCAACAGTATAAGAGGGTTTCTTTTTCTCCACATCCTCGCCAACACTTTTCATTTCTCATGTTTTTGCTTTTAGCCAGGTGTGAGGTGATATCTCCCTTGTGGTTTTGATTTGCATTTCCCTGATAATGAGTGATGTTGGGCATCTTTTCATGTGTGCTGGCCATCTGGATGTCTCCTTCAAGAAATGTCTGTTCATGCCTTCTGCCCATTTTTAATTGGATTATTTAGGTTTTAGGCGTTGAACTGTAGAAGTTGTTAATGTATTTTAGATACTAACCCTTTATAAGATATGTCATTTGCAAATATCTTCTCCCATTTGGTAGGTTGTCTTTTAGTTTTGTTGATTGTTTCCTTCCCTGTGTAGAAGGTTTTTACTTTGATGTAGATCCAATAAGTTTATTTTTGCTATTGCTTCCCATGCCTCAGAAGGCATATCTAGAAGGTGTTGTTACAGGCAGTGTCAGAGAAATAACTTCCTGTGCTCTCTTCTAGAATTTTTATGGTTTCAGACATCACATTTAGGTCTTAATTACATTTTGAACTTATTTTTTGTATGGTGTAAGAATGTGGTCCAGTTTCCTTGTTTTGCATGTAGCTGTCCAGTTTTCCCAACACCATTTGTTGAAGAGACTGTCTTTTCCCCCATTGCATATACTTGTTAAAGATCAGTTGACCATATAATTGGGATTTTATTTCTGGGCTTTCTTTTCTTTGATCTTTGTGTGTTTTTTTGCAGCCAGTACTATATTGTTTTTATTACTACAGCTTTGTAGTATATTTTGAATTCTGGGCTTGTGATCCCCCAGTTTTGTTTTTCTTTTTTAAGATTGCTTTGGCAGTTTGGGGTTCCATACAAATTTTAGGATTGTTTGTTCTAGTTCTATGAAACATGCTGTTGGTGTTTTGATAGGGTTTGTATTAAACCTATGGATTGCTTTCAGTAGTATAGATATTTTAACAATATTTGTTTTTCCAGTCCATGAGCATGGAATGTTTTTACATTTCTTTGAGTTGTCTCCAGTTGCTTTCATCAGTGTTCTATTGTTTTCAGAGTATAGCTCTTTCACCTCTTTGGTTAAGTTTATTCCTATTTTATTATTTTTGGTGCATTTGTAAATGGGATTGTTCTCTGAATTTCTCTTTCTGCTCCTTCATTATTAGTGTATAGAAATCCACCAGATTTAGGTACATTGATTTTGTATCTAGCAGCTTCCTTTAAAGGTTCATGTCAGTCTGTGAACAAAAGTTAAGGGATGTGAGCTCAATTGCCTGTATGATCATCATCACCACATTTTCTGTGTCTTATTCACAAGGACAGTTTGTTTATTTTTAAATTATTTAAGTAAACTCTAGACTGAACATGGGCTCAAACTCATGACCCCAAGATCAAGAGTCACATGCTCTGCCGACCGAGCCAGTCAGGTGCCGTACCCCACAAGGACAGTTTAAATACTTGGTTAAATCACGATATTTGGTGTCTGAGATGTTCTTAGTCCATTCGTCTGTGAACCATATCAGTAAATAAAATAACATTAATTTAGCCTGATGTTTTCGTACGGAATTAATTTTCTATATGAGAACTGTTTAATTTGAGGTTCAAAATAATGTGTTTTCTGCTTTGTAGCATCATCTTAAATGAAAATCCTTTATATAGGCTAACTTTTCATTAAAATATACAAATCTGGGGCGCCTGGGTGGCGCAGTCGGTTAAGTGTCCGACTTCAGCCAGGTCACGATCTTGCGGTCCGTGAGTTCGAGCCCCGCGTCGGGCTCTGGGCTGATGGCTCAGAGCCTGGAGCCTGTTTCCGATTCTGTGTCTCCCTCTCTCTCTGCCCCTCCCCCGTTCATGCTCTGTCTCTCTCTGTCCCAAAAATAAATAAAACGTTGAAAAAAAAATTTTTAAAAAAAAAAAAAAAATAAATAAATAAATAAATAAAAATATACAAATCTAAGTTGGATGATTTTTTTCCAGCAAAAAATTACAGTAGCTTTTTTGAGGGAAGGTTTTGTGATTTATTTTGGGGTTTTTAGAGAAAATCCATTTTTCTTCATTAGAGTTCTGTTGAAGACTTCCTATCAAGCATGGTGGACTAACTGAATTCATTTCACCCTGCACCTTAAAACTCCCTTAAAAGGGAAGTAAAGGTCTAAAAAGAAAATGCACACAGATAGGAACAAAGATAAAACAGGAAAGGAGACCGTCCACATGAGAGATGTCATAAAAATTTTGCACGCAAATGGACAAATTGTAACTGACTTAGAGAAAATGGAGTGGAGTCCAAAAGCAGCAGACTTCTTTTCTGCAGAACCATTCTGAGTTCAGAAATTCAAAGACTATAAGGGTTCGGGTGCAGAGGAGGACTGAAAATGGGGGAAAGGCTAAAACTCTTTTATAAGAAGGAGTGAGACCTCCAGCTTCCTCCTCCAAACTCAAAGCCCGGTGATTGACATGGACAGAAGACCGGAAGTTACCCTCTGGAGAGTTGAAACAGTGAGTCTCTAGAGTTTAGGAGGCAAGACCTACTGGGCAGAGAAAGAGTGGGGATTCAGGGCAGCATCAGGGCAATTAAATCTAATCTGAACACTGAGGAGGACACTGCCTCACCTCAGCTTATGTACCTGTTAGCCCTTCCAGAGGCTAGCAATCATGCTTAGACTTACCAGACTGGAGGTTGGAGGATCAGAGCAGTAAGACATGTAAGAGATCCCATCATGAAATAGGTCGCCACTCTGCCTGCCACCTGTGGCTGGGACTCACCAGGCAACAAGTCTGTTCCACACACAGCCCTCAGTAAGTTGTTTTTGTTGTTTTGTTTTGGTTTGGTTTTTTGTTTGTTTGTTTTGAGGGAGAGCAAGCAGAGAGAGAGAGAGGGAAGGAGAAAGAAAATCAGAAGCAGGCTGTGCACACTGTCAGCACGTAGCCCAGTGTGGGGCTCAGTCTCACAAATCATGAGATCATGAACTGAAATCAAGAGTCCTTCGCTTAACCGATTGAGCCACTCGGGTGCCCCACCCTCAGTAAGCTTTTGAGTGTTTTTTGTTAAATATAAATGAGTAGCCCAGTGGTTGCCAGACTTTTGTTTTTTGTTAAATATAAATGGATAGCCCAGTGGTTGCCAGACTTTTGTAGAAGTTTCTAATAATAAAATCAGTGTTTGACTGAAATAAATGGAAAAAGAGAGCCAGAGACAGTGGAAGGAAAAGGGAATCTCAAAACAACCTAATATGTGTGGAAAGAAAAGAGGTGTTACATCCACGAAATAAGTAAAGAATGGTAAATAATTAGTGCATGACAATAAAGAATATTGGGACAATAAGGAAGAAGTCTTAGAAATTAAAAAGATGACAGACACTTTAAAAAGGCAATAGAAATATTGGAAGAAAGCTGAAAACTCTCTCAAAAGGAAGAACCAAAAGACAAAGGATGGAAAATGGGAGAGGAAAAAATGAGAAAATAGGAATATCAGACTGAAATCTAAAACCTGTCTAATCAGAATTCCACAGAGACATCTGTGGACATAGAAGGGATGAAATTATCAGAGATACAAAAACATTTCCCAGAACTGAGAAACACACATTTCTAGGTTGAAAGGCCCTACTGAGCGCCAGCAATTGAAAAAAGACCTATGCTAGAGACATTACTGCAGTTTCCATATGCCAGGAGTAAAGAAGCTCTGAGAGGAGGGGAGAAAACACAGAACAGGTCACCTATAAGGGTTGACAGTGGCTCTTCTAGTGTGCTGCCAGCAGCATCAGCATCACCTGGGAACTTGGTAGAAATGCAGATTCTCAGGTCCCACCTAGACCTGCTGGAGGAGAAGCCATGCCCCCACCCCCACCCCCCAGTTCTGATGCCTGCCAAAGTTTGAGAAACCCAGGGATAGAGAATCAGAATGGCCTCCAGCTCCTCTGAGTACTTGCATGAGCGCTGTGGATATAGAGTAAAACAATGTCTTCAAAATCCCAAGGGAGAATGACTTCTAAATTCTGTGTACACCTAAACTATCAATCCTGTTAAGTCATCTCCAAACATGGGGGCTGAGGAAAGCACCTCTGTGCATGGTTTCTTGTAAAGCTGGTGGAGGATATGTCCCAGGAAAATGAACAAGTAAACTGAGGATGAAGACTGGGCAGCCAGGCAGTGAGCTTCCCCCGCAGAGGAAGGACGTGAAATCCCTCCAGAGCCAGGCTTCATTTTCTAATAATGGTTCTGTGAAGACTTTGTGGCAAATCTGATCTTCTGCAGAGTTCATCATCCAAATCCAGAATCACAGCCTCTTAGACATGGATGAAATCGGTCCATTCAATGTCCTCTTGATTAACAGGTGAGAAAATCAAGGTCCACAAAGTGTAGTAAATCAAAACAGAGCCAGGAAGAGAATCAAAATCCTAAGTTCTGGGGAACCAAAGATGATTTAGCCTCTCTACTCACAAGTAAGTCCCAAGGTAAGGGGAAACTCAAACTCACATCTGAACTCTAACAGTGGTCTGGCATATGAAACTCTCTTATCGAAAGCCTCTGCCTCACAAGAGAGGTAGAGAAAATTGTTAAATTTTAGAAATTAAATTTTTTTGTACATAATTAAATTGTTTGAGATTCAGATAATTGTTCAGTAAGTATCTTTGACATTTAACATTAGCGGGTTCACCCTGAAATCTCTGTTTACATAAAGGACTAAATGGAATTCACACATCGGTCACCCAGGTCGCTCAGTTGGTTAAGCGCCTGTCTCTTGGTTTCAGGTCAGGTCATGGTCTCACGGTTTTTGAGTTCGAGCCCTGCATCGGGCTCTGTTCTTGCAGTGTGGAGCCTGCTTGGGATTCTCTCCCCACCCCCCACTCTCTGCCCCTCCCCCACTCACGCTGTCTCTGTCTCTCTCAAAATAAATAAACTTAAAAAAGATTCTTAAGTTGAATTCACACTTGGGGATCAAAACAGGTGGTTTCATATGTAGTGAAAATGGGTTTTTGACCCCTATTTCTTTTTTTCATTTTTAACATGTATTATAAATACATGTATTTATATTGGCAAATAACATGTATTATATTGGCACATGAAGAAGGCCCTGATTATTGTAGAACCTCTATATTAAAATATGGCCATCTTCATTCATGTTTTGATCCAAAAGACAATTATATTTTATGTTGACCTGGCTTTTAGCTGAAAGAACTCTTTGCTCCTTACAGTAGTTCATTTGCTGCTTAGTATCATTAGTTCTTAATCAAGAATCTTTCTCCTTGCAAAAGTTTCTTCAATTGGCTGTATTCTTTGATGCCACAGTACCAGCGGACCAGTCTGAACATGTGTTCTTTTAATGAAACTTCTTAATTATCTTTTTAGAAAAAAAGATGAGCAGAGACAGTTTATTTTTATCTGCTTGGGAGAGGCTCTCTGCTTGCCAAGTCTCTCTGTTAAAAGAAGCCTAATATTATGGGGTGTTAGTTATTTCAGCCAAGATAGTTTTCAAGGAAGCATTTTCTTGGGGAGAGAAGGTCATCATTGGAAGTGTAAGTGACCTTTAATGTATTTGCAAAATGTAACGTTTTCTTTAACAACTTGTAATTCTTTCATAAATGGGTGCTAAACTGGTTGTTTGCAAATTATATATAGAAATCAGTATTTCCTTGGGGCCAGGCCGACCCCCACTGTATTGGTCCCCATCAGTACAGTTAATACGCTTGTCCTGTGGTTGTATAGAAAGACCACAGGTTCGGCAATTTGTTAGCTGCTGTCACTGAATTGGACATAAGTGATGTGGTTAGAGTAATGCTTTCTAAGAAAAGGGGGCATTGCAACATATATGGTTCAGAGTGAACTTTACTGCTCACACCTTCTCTAAAAGGTAAATGCCACATGCATATAACGTTCTCTGAATAGCCAAGATTGCACGTCTTTACACATCACAGTTGAGAAACTTTAAGCTGCCTGTTACCTTGTGCAGTATGTAGGAGACAGTTGAAACTATTGACAGATACTTCTTATTCATCAAGACGCTACAGTTTAATTAGTTCAGGAATTCCAGTGTGAAAAAAAAAAAAACTGATACTCTGGTTCCTCACAAAGAATATTGCACTCTCAGACTCTGGAAATAAACAGATACCATTTATATCCACTTAAGAGTCCATGAAATTCTTTTGAGACTCTTACACTTTGTGGAGATAGTAGTGAGTCAGAAGGTAAATCATCATACCAAGTGATCATGTCACTAGCCTCGAAAGTTATATTTTACTGTTAATTTAGTCTGGGTTTACATTCAGTGCAGGTGTTGAGAGTATCGGAACAAATTGGGACATTCTTATAGATGGGAATAACACATTTGTCCATTTTCCGAGCGGTTACAGACATTAAAATGCCAGTACAGGGCTGTTCTGCTCAGTAGCATCTCAGACCTGAGCGAGACGCAATCCTAGTCTATGTCCCATGCTTTACAAGGCCTTCCATGTCAGCGGCACAACACGCGAGTGGTAGTGGCGAGTGGTGCTGAATTGGGTTCCAGTGTCCAGAGGCTGCAGAACTGGAAACCTGAGCCTGTATGTCAGGGGAGGAGAAAAACACAGCCTGTGTCCTGGGGAACCAGATGAAGAATGGTGCTTCACCCCCAAAGTTGATCGCTAGGCAGAGGTCATTGTTATCCCGACACACCGCCATTGGTCCTCTGCACCCGCTGGTGCTCCTGCACCTGGTCTTACCTGCCCTCACCAGTGTTTCTACCCACCACTGCCAGAGCAGCTTTTCTAGAATGCACACCTGATACTGCCACCCCACGTTCGAAGTCCTCTGCCCTCCTCCCCCAGCTGATTGAGACAAAGGTCCAGTGCCTACAGTGGTTTACAGGGTCCCACTTGGCCTGCACTCCTCTTCTCCCAGCTACCTCACTCTTGGATTCATCTCTCCCCAGTCTTGACCCAGGAACTCCCTACTCCAGCCATCAAGGCTTGCTTTCTTTCATTTCTTCCAAGGGAAGCCCTGCCTTACTCATACTTGGTTCTGCTTGGAGTGCTAGCCCCGTCTCCTTGCTCTGGGAAGTTCTGCTGACCATTGCCCCCCCCCCCACCTTTTACTCCTAAAAAGTAACAAGCTGGTCATTCTTCTCCCACTGCAGTCTTATCACAGCAGTTATCACTCTGGTGACTGGTTTCATCTGCCTGCATCTTTGCCCCACCAGAACGTAAGCTCCGTGAGGTCAGGGACCATATCCATCTTGTTCCTTGTTAGATCTTCACTCACAGAGCAAATATCCCATAAGCAAATGGTAAGCTTTATTTGCCTCGGCATTCCAAAGGTATTGGGTAAAGTGGGCCGGAAGTGGGAAATTAGCAACAAAGTGAAACCAGCATGGTTGGTCCTGAGAAGCCAAGGCTATACCTGGGACTCCTGTTTTTCCTGTGGCTTCTTGGAAGCCTCAGGGAACCATCTGCGTTCCGACAGCCCAAGCCCCCAGATCTGTGTGTGTCCACAAGGGACTAATTATACTTGACCTCAGCAGTGATTTGACCATGGAACACCTTGTACTGTCAACAGACACAGATGACCAAAATGTTCACGGTCTTTTTTAGGTGGATTTGCACAAGGTTAAAATGCCTTCTAGTACTTACACGACATACATGTTGTCTATTTTGAACAATGCAGAGATGGCATTTCCACATCAAGTCGTGGAAAAAGGTATTCACACTGTTTTGTTTTCGTTAAAGCATTGCACATATCCTGCCAAAAATATTAACTGCAGTGCTTTCAGTGTGTTCATCAATTTTGGCATTTATCCATATTTGGAGAAAAATTAAAGCTGGAGTTGAATTGAATCTTTGTCTTTTAGAAGCAGCTATTTGTGACCAACTCTATTAGAATTATGTTTATTTTGAGGGTTTTAGGTGATTAGAAAGGTTTTTCAATCTAGTTTTTTAATGGAGCTGTCTCCTTTTTTAAAAACTCTTGCATGATATAAAGCAAGTTTGTTTTGTTTAAACTGGTACATATCAGGTGGTTATTTGTCAGTTAGTCTGAGAGCTAATACGAAACTGGTATTTGGATTTAATTCAGTTCCATTAGAACAGAGTTAAAATTCTGTGATACAGGGACTATTATCCTGGCAGTTGTAAGGGATTTTTGTGCGAGGAAGCAGGGCTGACAAAGAGGGCACTGTGCACACTCCGTCTGTAACTGAGCACTTTCACACTGCAATTTAGGAAGTGTGCAGTTCAGGAAATTGCTGGCTTTGGCTGGAGCATACTTTAACTGCAAGGAAAATTTTATTCGTCACTCAAGTAATTGGCAGTTTTAATACCTTGTTCATAATTACTTAATAAACAAACGAACATATAAACCAAAGATTGTATGGCCTGTTATCTAACCTGTAGCCTTATTTGACCAACGTGATAGACACCTGTAGGCCTCCCTCTCCTTCCCACAAAAAACCAGGTTGTTCCGTTTATTGCAGAAATCTATAGCTGAGCGTTTTCTTTGTGTTGTTAAACGTTAAGTGTAGCTGTACCAGCGTCAGACAGCCTGGGGGCCAAAACCAGATGCAGAGTTTGATGGGAGGTAGCGACTAGGGACAGGGAGGGGGGTGGAGAAAGAGGGGCATTTCAGGGTTACTCTACTGTTTGTGGGAGGACATCCTGGTAATGCAAACATTTGGGTTATGTGTTTAAGAGAACATTTTTGTCCCCTAAAGTGTGGTTTTGTTTAACCCACACACCCTGACCCTAAGGCCCTGTGGCTTTTCTCTTGGACTAAATCCATCTCCGGGACCTAGAAATTGACTAATTGTCTCTGTTGCATTACCCTATACCTCACAACTAGATCAAGGAGTTTAAACACTGGCAAATCCAGATGTGGGAAATGGTCAAAATCAGAGGTCATGGCTGACTTGACTCTAAACAAAGTCTGTAAGACTTTATGGGAGTCTAAGGGGCTTGATATTTGTTACTTGTAAATAGGACTGTTAATCCTTTATTTTTTTTTAACCTTACTATTATCTCAGACAAATTCAGTTCTTAAGATACACATCACCTATGCCTGTTACCTTGTATAGGATTATTTCAAAACATAGATTCCCAGATGACTTGGATCAAGACATGAATCCCTGCAGTCCTTAAAAGTAACATATGGAGGGTTTTAACAGTATTTTGACAAGTTTTGTTAGTTTGTTTATTTTTATTTTTATTTATTTTTACATTTTCTTACTGTTTATTCTTGAGAGAGAGAGAAAGAGAGAGACAGAACGTGAGTGGGGGAGGGGCAGAGAAAGAGGGAGACACAGAATCCCAAGCTGGCTCCAGGCTCCGAGCTGTCAGCACAGAGCCCAGTGCAGGCTCGAACTCACTAACCGTGAGATCATGACCTGAGCCGAAGTTGGACTCCCAGCCGACTGAGCCACCCAGGCGCCCCTAGTTTGTCGTTTAAATAGAAAGCATCCAACCTGTTTTCTCCCCTTATTGTCCTTTCTGGCAGGGAAATCAGCACCCGACATTGGCGCCTATTCAGAGTGTCAGTCTTCTAGAAGCTCTGGCGTATGGCAAATACGTGCAAACCCCTGGGTTATCTTCCTGGGGTACAAGCAAGACTGGGGAGACCCTGTGTCCAGGGCATCCTTGTTGTTGGCATGGTGATGGCTCTGTGAGCCGGTGTTGATTCCCACATTAGTTTGAAACCAGAAGTTAAACATGTCTGCAGGAGTGGGAAGTAGTGGCCCTTTCTGGACGTGCATCTCCATGTAAGAATTGAATTGCCAAAATAAATCTGACACTGTGTTTTATGAAATAAGCCTTGCTTTGGGACCAATATGGCTTTGTTAGGTTAAAAGCTCTAGTTTCTTAATTTTGCAGTTATCTATAATATCTACACTAGAGAAATGCTATTAGGATTAAATGGCACGACATATGAAAAATGCTTAGCCTTGGCTTGACATGTGAGACGTTCTCAACATTATTAGATTTCATATACAATCCAAGACATGGGTAGAGACCTATCCCTACTTTCGCTACAGTTTGGCAGAGAAGATCAGCAGTGTAAAAGTGCAATGTCAGAACACAGTGTAGGATCTTGTGAAAATACATACGAGGTGCTCCTAACTCAGGGACCTTCTGAGATGGTGAGAGGCCTGTGAGTTATAATAATGCAAAAGAGCTGAATAAACTGAAAGCACTATAGAAATAAGTTATTGGTAGAAAGATACACATATGAGCTGTATTTCCTAAGTTTTCTCATTAAATGAGGCTTAACCGTAGACTATGTATAAACACGTCAGCATGTGACATTCACAGAGTTCTGCCCAGAGCCTTCAGATCGTTTCCCTGTTCCTTGGATTGTAAAGAGACTTTTTTTTACAGGTGGACTCTGTTTTCATCCTGTTTCTGAGTTCTGCCCAGAGCCTTCAGATTGTTTCCCTGTTCCTTGGATTGTAAAGAGACTTTTTTTGCAGGTGGACTCTGTTTTCATCCTGGCCTTCCTAGCTTCCTACCTTGACATGTTGTTTTCCCCCACCAAATGATGGTTTAAGAAGTCCACGCTTCCTGATCTAATATGACAAATAAGATGGCTCGCACATCAGTTTGATTCCTGTTCTCTAGCAAGATTGTCATTTAATGCTGACTTTCCCCTTGAAAGCTGTTGTGTTAATGACCTTTTAAGAGATTGACTTGGCCTCTTTTTTTGTTTTGTTTTTCATTTGTGATCTATGTAGGGTGCACCAGTGGAACTTTCAGTGATGAAATATTCTGTATGTGCACTGACCCATTTGACAGCCACCAAGCACATGTGGCTGTCGAGGACCTGAAATGTGGCTACTGTGACTAAGGAACTGAGTTTTAACATTTAAATTTAATTTTAAGTGCTACATATGGCTACCTACCATATTGGTCATCATGGTCAGGTGTTTAAGGCTGTTAATGTCAAACTTTATTAATCTAGTTCTCTAGGAATTCTTTAGACTGGTGTGCTTTTTATGTAATACTTCTATACTATTCAAAGCCCTGGAGCACATCCACTGCTTTTGAAGACTGTGTAGCAATACATTGAAACTTGCTGTCTCTTAAAAAGAGAGCTCTCTAGCGTGGCTTTAAAAAATAACCCCAACCTGATGATTATTTTAAGGTTATTGGTACCTGTAGTGTGGGTACTCTCCAGGAGAAGAATTAGAAATAGATTAGGAATCAAGAAAAAGAATAGGGAACTAACACACCGGTACCTAGAATGCCAACTCGGTGCTAGTCATTTTACATAACATATAATAAAATGGTAAGGAAGAAGGACTGGTAATAAAATAACATAAAGAAAAATCAGTTTAAGTGCATAGCACCTAGGTAACCACAACTGGTAAACACATTCAGATTTACATAGGAATGTTTTTCATACATTCTAATATTATGATTTACTGTTTAAGGCAAAATTGAAGTGACTTAAGAGTTGCTGTTTAACTTTTAAAAGTACAGTTTAGAGCAATCAATTTTCCATAATTCTGAAGAACAAATTAGGAATGGCCTTTCAGATTGTTGTACTATTAACCTTGTCATCTGTGTTATCCTTAAATTCCAGAGCTGGAAACAGGATTGTTGAAGTATTACCTGAACATCTGAAACAGTTTCAATCCCTCGAAACTTTGGACCTGAGCAGCAATAATATTTCAGAGCTTAAAATTCCCCTTCCACCCCTACAACTCAAATATCTGTAAGTCAGTTCTTCTTTAACAAAAATATTCACCTATGATGAAAATATCATTGTAATAATAACAAAAAATCAACTTTAGGATATAATAAAATCTGCCTTTTTTTTAAATTGCTGGGGTGTATCAGCCACTTAACTTTTATTGATGTGTAATTTGCTGTAAGCCCAAATAACCACAATCTTTATTTTGTTGTTGTACTTTTGGATTACAAAAAATTTAGACATCCGGGGCACCTGGGTGGCTCAGTCGGTTGGGTGTCTGACTTCAGCTCAGGTCATGCTCTCACAGCTCGTGAGTTCGAGCCCCGCAGCAGGGTCTGTGCTGACAGCTCGGAGCCTGGAGTCTACTTTGGATTCTGTCTCCCGCTCTCTCTCCCCCTCCCCCACTCGTGTGCCCCCATGCTCGCTCGCTCTCATAGAAATAAACATTTAAAAAAAATGTAAACAAAAAAAATTAGACCTCCTTTGAGTGTTAGAAAAAATAGGTGGAGTTAAAAGTGCTCCTTTGAAAAAATTAAACCACTGCTTGTTTCATTAGTAAGTGAATTTTATAAAAATTGGATAAGCATCTCTAACAAACTTGTATAACCTTCAGTTATTCCAGTCACTCTTTCCTGAGCAGTACGTGTGAACCCTAGTTTAGCGTTGGTCCACAAGGACCTGAATACTTAATTTTTAAAGTGTCCATTGTTACAGATGATAGTTAGGTTCTCTGGACATTATAACACAGAGAATGTTTGTGCTTTAACTTTCCAAAGAACCGGAAAGAGCAGCTCATCTTCAAACTTTTAACAGGTATATCAACAGCAACCGGGTCACTTCGATGGAACCTGGGTATTTTGACAGCTTGGCCAACACGCTCCTGGTGTTGAAGCTGAACAGGAACCGAATCCCGGCTATCCCCCCCAAGATGTTTAAACTGTCCCAACTACAACACCTGTAAGTAAAATGTTCTCTTAGATATTGTTTCCTCAGCTCCTCCTAACCCTTGGCATCTGTTGCCCAAAATCCACAACATGGCCAAAGGAGTTTAGAAGCAAGGATGTGGCTGTCTTTCCATCGAGAGCTGGAGTGGTAGAATTTCTGAATTGGAAAGAGCCTTCACAGTCACCTAGTGCAGACTCCTGCCTGACAGGGCAGGTTAGATTGTTACTGAAGGAATGCACAGTGTAATCATTGAACAATCTCCACACAAAGGCGTCATTGTGGCACAGAAGACATCGTGGGTGACTCTCAACAGCTGTGGTTTATGAGAATAATACCGACAACTCCAGGAGGCTCTGATAGCTTAAGTGGCTGCAGAGAACTGTCTCGTTAATAGCAGTGGAATGATCTGTGAACAGGCTCCTGCAACACAGTGGTTTTCAACCTTGGCTGCACATTATAGACACTGGGGAGCTTTTAAAAATCCCAATGTCCAGGCCACACCCTAGACCAATTATATTAGAACCTCTGGGGGTAAGATCCAGGCTTCGGTAATTTTTAAAACTCTCCGGGTGATTCCAGTGTGCAACCAAGGTTGAAAAGGACTGCCTTAAAGAGAAAGCATTAAACATAAAAAGAATCGTCAAAGAGAGTAACCAACCAACTTTTGTAAGCAAGCTAAGCTTGACGGCCCTGCACCCGAAATAGACCTCATGCTTTAACATTATATTCGGTATTCTCACTCTGGATAATTTAGAGACAAATATACTGAGTAGATGACCATTTAGAAATTAAAGTGTAGTCTAGTTTCAGTATTTCATTCTAAAAATACATCACACGTTTCAGAAGGAAATGCCCTCACTGCTAATAAATCAAACTTCTTCTCACTAAAAATGTTTAGTAATTTAAAACATTCCATGTAATTTAACACCGGCTGGTTTAACTATATTATAGTAATGTTGCATTTTATTACTAACTCCAGAATTTGTCATATAAGCTAACCGTTTAACTGTTATATCCAATGCAGTGAACTGAACCGAAACAAGATTAGAAATGTAGATGGGCTCACATTCCAAGGGCTTGGTGCTCTGAAGTCTCTGAAAATGCAAAGAAATGGAGTAACAAAACTTATGGATGGAGCTTTTTGGGGGCTGAGCAACATGGAAATCTTGTAAGTATGGCTTATCCTACAGTTCCTGCTTAGGTAGTACGACCATGGACCACGCAGTGAACATGCAGTAGCTTTATTTGAAATCCTATGTTACAGTCTCCTCATTTAATACCCAGTTTTGTTTCAGGTAATGTGACTGAAATTTAGAAGCACATGGTACTTTTGGCTGATGCCTTTATATCACAAAAGCTAAACATCTTGTAACAATAGGAATATGTAATAGGTTGTAATCATATGTCTCCTTTGAAAAGACTAGATAATGAACTTTTGATCCTGCTTTTGATTCTTATTGTAAATGTAGGCAGCTGGACCATAACAACCTAACAGAGATTACCAAAGGCTGGCTTTACGGCTTGCTGATGCTGCAGGAACTTCATCTCAGCCAAAATGCCATCAACAGGATCAGCCCTGATGCCTGGGAGTTCTGCCAGAAACTCAGTGAGCTGTGAGTTGCCTTTTATTCTCCCCAGGTTTGAGAGCAGGGATCATGCCAGAGCATGAGCTTCTTACCACTGATCTGTGAAATTTTCATAACAAAGTTTCCAAGGTGACAGCTTTTTTCACATGCAACCTAGTCATATTTTTGTTGTGATAAGTTGAAGCCAACTCTGCTATTTGACTTCTGGGGCACATGGGCTAAATCAGTGACGGTTATTTTCAAATAAAGAGAATTTTTTTAATTACTAGGATTAGAAACAATGTTTACCTGAGTATTATTAAGAAGGCAGAGTGTCAAAATAAGAATTATTGTGGTTACATATATCACCTGTTGTTTAGAAAACAAATCATTGTGTTGAATTGGAAAATAAAAGCTGTTGTTTGTTTTTTGTTTTTACAGGGACCTAACTTTCAATCACTTATCGAGGTTGGATGATTCAAGCTTCCTGGGCCTAAGCTTACTAAATACACTGCACATTGGGAATAACAAAGTCAGCTACATTGCTGATTGTGCCTTCCGGGGGCTTTCCAGTTTAAAGACTTTGTAAGTTACACATTTTGCTCTCCGTACATGAACCTAATTGGTTCCTAAATGTGCCCACTTTTCTCCAAGCAGATTTCCTTTGTTGTGAAGGAAATATCTACAGCCTCAGAAGTAGTGTCTTAATCTTTCCCAGATCAGTTTGATTAAAATAGGTCCATTTCATCCATGTGTTTCTTAGAGGGATTAAAAAGGACAATGATCAGATTGGTTTGGTGATTACACTTAGCCTTCTCAAGATCTCCAGGAAGTTGGTAACTGCTCAAAGGGGAAACGATTGTAAATCCACTGATTTTTCTTTATAAAAATGCAGATTAGAAATTACCCAGAGCGAAAAGATCTACAAAGGGCAGCAAAGGAAGATGCCTGTTTATCATACAAGTTATATCCAGATTTAATCCATCTCCTAAGAGAAGAGAAAATTTTGGATTAATTGACCTTTGAAATATCTCTGAAATGTTCATTTTAATGTTGTGCAGTGGGTTTTTGGTTTTTGCACTGTCAGAAATTTTTGCTCCATTCACTATTTGAAGCATGACATAATTGAAAGACATGCTGTGTGCTTTGGCCAACTCCTGCTAATGTGGTTGGAGCTGTGGTTTTAAAGTTTAATGTATTTTTCAGACTGTTCAGGTCTTTCAGAATTGAGTCATCTTGATAGAGGAATTAATAGGACAGGTTCAACTATCTTGATTTTTGGGCAGCAATACTTAAAATGTTGTTGAGGGAGGAGGGCAGGGAGAGAGAAAATTTTGTATTGTTTTGAAAGGGGTAGAGATGATATGAGGGATCATGAAGAATTTGTTACAAATTATATGCCACCTGGGCGGTGATCTTAGCTTTTTGAGCATATCTCTAAGGGGAGTGTTTGTATCTTGTGTTAAATATCTGGTACCGGTTTCAGTAACGTTTCTTTCAATAATTAGGGATCTGAAGAACAATGAAATTTCCTGGACTATTGAAGACATGAACGGTGCTTTCTCTGGGCTTGACAAACTGAGGCGGCTGTGAGTGGGATTTGCTTCATGTTTGTCTCACTCTCTGACCTACACGTTCACTGAAGGTCCAGTCTACAGGTTCACATTTGGAAGAGTTTAGAACTAGAGGCTTTATATCTGGTTGTTTCCCTTGGACATTTTCCCAAATGAGTATTGTTACACAAGATGGGTATTAATTAGCTTTTCTTCCTTGAGATGGTGGTTTTGTTCAACACTTTGGTGAGTTGTAACTTATTTTAATATCTAGATAAGAGTGTTAAATTGTTTTGAGTGCTTAGGCTCTTGGGATTATCATTGTATAAAAATTAATATGCTTACTAAGTCCGCCATTTTGAACCTTTCAGAGTTGTATTCTGCTCACAGGAGTTTTTAAGTGGAGTGACCCAGTGTCCACTGATAGTACTGCAGTAGGTTCCAAGCAGTAGAGGAGGAAAACCTGCTTCTATTTAGCCTTAAAGTGGCCTTGTAGATGGCCAGATTCTGGGTTTTAAGTTTTCGGGTTGAGTTTCATATAGCCCTAAGCTTCTGTGGATGATGAAAGTGTCCATGGGGAGGAAGGGTAAAGAGAAGATCTCCACTATATCTTCTTTACTGATTATAGTTTTTGAGACCATTTACTTGGAAGAAAGTTTCTACCTCTTCCTAAAAAGACTTTCAAAATCACTGCTTTAATTTAACTGCCAGAGTAACTTACTGAATACCTACTTTTGCTGAGTTCTCTGCTGAATGCTTTGAGACCCTGCTGAACTGTATTACTGAAATAGATGGCATGGATAACATTTTTACAGGATACGTTATTTAATTGAAGAAGATAGAATTATTCACAAATGATTTTAAAAGCAATTCTTTTCATGAGAATTCCATCCCCAAATGGCTTTAAGTGTTCCAATGTAATTTTTTTTTTCCCCAGAATACTCCAGGGGAACCGGATTCGATCTATTACCAAAAAAGCCTTTACTGGTTTGGACGCATTAGAACATCTGTGAGTGACTGGAATTTAGTTACCCTAAAGGAATCTGAGATGGTTATCTACTTATGTGTCATGAAAGATAAAGTAGAATGTAATTTTGTTGGCATCCTTTCTGTACCATAAAGTATATTTACACATCTGCTTATCCTGCACCTATTTTTCTACCTATCTATATCTTCATGGCAGTATATAGGTATATATTTTCCTTTGCATTTGAGGACATTGCTGCACGTTATTGGGTTTTCTTTTAGTTATTTTTCTCAAGCGGTGACATATTTAGTTTTCAAAAACCTACCATTTATTGTATATACATGTCAGGCATTATGCCAGGTATTTATATACAGTCTCATTTAATCCTCATGAGAAAACTATTCAGGGGCACCTGGGTGGCCCAGTTGGTTGAGTGTCTGACTCTTGATTTTGGCTCAGGTGATCGCTGGGTCATGGGATCAAGCCCCACATGGGGCTCAGCGCTGAGCGTGGAGCCTGCTTTAACATTCTCTCTCTGCCTCTGCCCCTCTCCCTTGCTTGCACTCCGTCTCTAAAAAAGGAAAAACTATTCAATAGCTATTACTACCTTTATTTTGAAGTGAAGAAATGGAAGTCCAGAGTGTCCATTGATTCCATCGAACAGTTAAGATGGTGACTTGAATTTTAAAGATACAAAGACCACTCCCCGCAATCGTCAGGCATGACATTAGGAGACTAGTAGCACTACTGGGAGGCTTTTAGTAGTTTGTTGTTGTGGTTAATTGTAAAGCAGACAGTCCATTTTCCACCTTTGTTCTTTCTCTTTTTCCATTTTGCTACCAGTCCATCGGCTAGCAATTGACAGAAGTAGGACTCAAACCAGGGCTGCCTCTGCCGTAGGCGTCCCTGTGCCAAGCAGCTCTCACCTCCACGAGCTCTGCACCACCCCCTCTTAGCAACTCCTGGCACACAGTTTTGAAATGACATTCAGGGACTCCGATATTTCCAGCCACTAGGAAGGCAAGCTAGCCAACCTTGGTAGGAGTCGAAACCTGCATGAGCTTGAACCGACCAGCTTCTTACAACTGGATCTGTGTTTTATACTTGTCCAGCAAAAGTACAAAGTGATACTAAATGTCTCCACTCTGTTAGGGAATGTTTGTAGCCAAAAGTTTTAATAACTATTAACTTCGACAAAAGATGTTCTGATTTACAGTACGCATTTTGTTGTACCCATGTTTGCACTGCGTATCAAGAGGGAAGATTTCACCATTATCCACGACCACCTTGTTGTCTTCAGACTCACTTGTTAGTTTGAGGGAGGTTTGGATGGCTAGCCACACCGACAGAAACAGTTCGGGCTGGAGGAGGGTGATTCTGTATTGCAGAATTTGGAAGGGCGGGCCAGTGTTGCTGGACTTCTTGAAACAAATTGCTTTCAGAGGGAAACTAGCCAAAAGGGTTTGTCATCTGACCCATTCCATTTCTGGGAAAGTGGAATTAGTGGATCAGTGGAGTATATTGACCTCGGCTTTAGCTTTCTAAACCTTCTTGACTCTCCCAGCCTCTTTCTCTGCCCATGTTTGGTACCTTCACTCTGTCCTCTCTTGCCCCTCATCTCATTCAAAATCCTTTTTGTACACTCTGACCTGTAAAGAAAACCAGAGTAGTAATCATTGTGGAGAGTGCTTTAATTCATACTGCTTGTAGGTACTAGTTACAAATAAAGTCAGCCTAGAATATTCTCTGGTTTTACTAATGCGCTTCCCAGAGTGTGTTACGGCAAGTACATCTCGTCTGAACAGCGTACTGTCTTTAGCAGTGACATACATGTGTGTTGCAGAATGGGCTATTAAGAGCATAGGTTTTGAAATTGAAACTAATGGAGTTTGCATCTTAGCTGTGCCTGTCATGCTGAACAAGGTAGTAAAACCATCTTCTTTTGGGTTGCTGTGAGGAGTAAATGTTAAGTCATTTAACCCAGTGCATGTCATAGAAAGGATTTGATGCATGATGGGTTTTTTAAAAAGGATAACTATGAAGAATTTAGTTGTGTATTTAAAAGTTACTCTCAGTAACTTCTGAAGTTCTAACTTCTCAAGTTACTAACTTGAATAATGAGAAACAATAAAGTATCCCAGCAGAACAAGCCATATAACTATTTTAAAAAATACAGCAGAACAGCTTAGGCCCTTAGGAGTCAAATAACCTGTACATAATGATATAAAGCAAATCTCTTTTACTATAACAGAACCTACCTCTGATACAAATAGATATTCTTATTCTTTGATCTAAGTTTCTTGTGTTCTTCTGGAGTTGCATGGTTTATATATTTTAGCGCATGGAGTAGTTCGGTGAATGGGGTGAGGAGTGTGGGCCCAGTCTTTCCCTGAGACATGCAGTGACCATAATTCGCTCTAATGTATTTTGTTTTCAGAGATTTGAGTGACAACGCAATCATGTCGTTACAAGGCAATGCATTTTCACAGATGAAGAAACTTCAGCAATTGTAAGCTTTTCTTTTTCCTTCCAAGGGTTTCAAATAAAACATGGTGGGGGGAGCTCTTATGAGGTATGTCATCCTAGATCACGTGTCTATGAAAAGTGTCTAGCATGTCCTTAGCATTACTTAATTTTTATACCAGAAAGCAAAGGGAATTGGTTATTTGTTCCCTTGCTCGAAAAGAGGAGTATCTTTTTGTTTCTGTTAGGAATTTGCAATTTACATTTTTGGGACCTAATGCAGGGCAATGAATATCCCAGTAACAGGTCTAAAGTAGTGAGAGATTTTTGATATATCATCAGTCCCTCTCCCTCAGCAGGTCGGTAAGAACAAACAATATGGTGCTAATACATTTCTTACGTTTTAAGGTGGACTAGAGAATATTTATTTCATAGGGTGTATTTGGTTTCCACATTCATTGCTTTGTTAATATTTACTTGAGTTAGTTTACTTGTAGAATCTGCATTTCATATAAAACAAATTGAACATAATTACTCTCCTCAGGCATTTAAATACATCAAGCCTTTTGTGCGATTGCCAGCTAAAATGGCTCCCACAGTGGGTGGCAGAAAACAACTTTCAGAGCTTTGTAAATGCCAGTTGTGCCCATCCTCAGCTGCTAAAAGGAAGAAGTATTTTCGCTGTTAGCCCAGATGGCTTTGTGTGTGGTGAGTGTACCTGTTGCCTCTGCGTTCCTTCTTTTTCCCTCCAGCTAATGGTTTTGAATAAGCTTATGTTCCCTGTCTCTTTTTTTTTTAATGTTTATTTATTTTGAGAAAGAGTGCAAGTGGGGGAGGGGCAGAGAGAAAGAGGGAGACACTGAATCTGAAGCAGACTCTAGGCTCTGAGCTGTCAGCACAGAGCCCGACGCAGGGCTCAAACTCATGAACTGTGAGATCATGACCTGAGCTGAAGTCAGATGCTTAACAGACTGGGCCATCCCTAATGGCGCCCCCTAAGCTTCTGTTCTCTTAATGAAGCTTCCGTGTCTGCTATCTATCGTGATGATTTTAATGTTACAGATGAGAGTTTTCCAAAATGTCATTGTTTTGACATCAGGGTGGTTTGATGGAAAGAGTAGGACATTGGATCTTGGGAGAATTGAAGGACAGGGGCAGCCCTCCTGCTTCCCTAAATCTCAATCTCTGTGTCCGTGAGGTGGGAACTCTGTGGACTTCCCTTCCCAACCGTGGGGTTGTTGAGAAGCTGAACTAACCCCTGTGTAAATGCTGTGTATTAAGAGTAGAAAGAGAAAAATTATCTGCTTATGATTGATGGGCCGTTAACAATTTTGCTCCCAGTGGGTAAAGCACTATAAGGAGTAGAAAGTTTGAATTTATTATAAATAAATGTAAGGTCCATTGTCATAGCATCTAAGAATCTCAGTGTCAGAAATCTCACACTTCACATTGCTAGTCAGCAGATCGGATCAAAACCCAGGTTCTCATCTCCCTGGTGCAGGCTTCTGTCTACCACACCACACTGCTGTTTACTATTCACCACCATGGAGACCTTTGTAAAAATAAATGTGCACATAGAACACGAAATCGACTTGTGCTTAAATTTTAGCGTGTGTGTTAAGATATTACAGAACCTAATTTTACATTGGCCTTTAAAAATTTATTTGAAACTGCTTTGCCTGCGATTGTTTAGTCAAGTACAAGAAAAATATATTTTTTTAGGTTGCAGCATTAAACAGTGCCAACGGTTTCTGGAAATAAAATGTCTGATGTAGCTTTTGGATCTAAATAAGCTTTTGGCACTCATCTAGAAGGGCCTGAGCCATGCCTTTCCCGTGGTGCTTATTTCACAGTTCTCTAGTCTCAAGATAGGAACACGATTACTTTGAGACGTACATATGGTGTCCTTAGATTTTTCTGTCACTCCTTCCATTGTGGATCTAAACATTGATATACCAGATGAGAATTTTAGAATAATTCCACGGAAGAAGAAACCATCCTGATTACACCATGGTATTGGAAGTGTGCAGCATTGGAGTTATCAGAACATTCCCGTGCCCCATTCACGCATGTGCAGACACAGAGGTATACATAATCATTCTCTCTCTCTCTCTCTCTCTCTCTCTCTCTCTCTCTCTCTCACTCACACACACATACACACACACACACACTCACACACACTCACGAGTTGTTTTTCTAGAGCACCCAAATAATACATTTCAGTATTTCTAAGCTGTTTTCCTTCTGGGTTTAGACCATCTCCAAGAAACTGCAGTTCAAGAAGGTAACTTTTCCAAAAAGTAACAGAGAACTAAAAATAGCTGTTTGGAATGAAAGAGTTGCTCAGCTCTAATTATAATGTAGCTCCAACAGTGTAGCACAGCGGCCTGATTGATTGTCCACCCGAAACCCCAGGCTGAAGCCAGGGTCTCACAGGAAGTTTGAAAGATGCTTTTTCTTTCACTGCAGGATTATCTTTTTCTGCTGTATCTAAAAATTACTGCTTTTTAATATGGGTTCTGTCTTTGGTAAATGGGGTGTTAATTGCTGTCTTTAGTGATAGTGATTTCTTAATTTCCCTGCTGCTTACTCATGGGTAACATGGAAAAAAATCGCACTTCCCCAAAACAAGTAGCATTTAAGTATGATCTCTGAGCCTGGAAGTTCCATAACTGATTTCTTCTTGTATCTGTATGAAAAAAGCATAAGGGGCCTAGGATAACCTATCTTCCAAAATAGCAGTCTCCTCTCAGTTAGTGACTGATAAATAAGTTTCAGTCTCTCTTTGAAGTGAACAAATTAGTTGATAAACACTCTCCCAAGCCATCATTTCAACACTAAGACTGTTAGTCCATCTGTGAAACATACACAAAGGGTAAAACCTAAGCCCTCATTTGTTTTGGGTTTCTTGGTATTAAAAAGTGAGTAGCTTTTGGACTCTCGAGCCTTAAAATCGTTTTGTTTTCTCCCCTCCATTTTGAACAGATGATTTTCCTAAACCCCAGATCACGGTTCAGCCAGAAACACAGTCGGCAATAAAAGGTTCCAATTTGAGTTTTATCTGCTCGGCTGCCAGCAGCAGTGATTCCCCGATGACTTTTGCTTGGAAAAAAGACAATGAACTACTGCATGATGCTGAAATGGAAAATTACGCACACCTGCGGGCCCAAGGCGGCGAGGTGATGGAGTACACCACCATTCTCCGGCTGCGCAGCGTGGAATTCACCAGCGAGGGGAGATATCAGTGTGTCATCTCCAATCACTTTGGCTCATCCTACTCTGTCAAAGCCAAGCTCACAGTAAATAGTATGTGGTCTGACTTTTCCTTTTGCATTTAAAGACGCCTTTTAGATTTGGTTTTCTCTTAATCCTGACCCTGTCTTCTGCTCAGAGTTTCCCACCTAACCCTTCCCTTCTCTGCCTCTCTGCAAAATTAAGAGTCTTGGCATCTATGCAAGCAGTTACTGTGTCGAGGACCCCATCGTGGTGGGTAACACAGGACTGAATCAGACACTCTTTGCTCTCCTGGGAGTTCACAATGTATTAGTCTTTTTTTTTTTTTTTTTTTTTTAATTTTTTGCAATGTTTATTTATTTTTGAAAGAGAGAGAGAGACACAGAGTGCGAGTGGGGGAGGGGCAGGGAGAGAGGGAGACACAGAATCTGAAGCAGGCTCCAGGCTCTAAGCTGTCAGCACAGAGCCCAATACAGGGCCTGAACTCACAAACCATGACATCATGGCCTGAGCCAAAGTTCGATGCTTAACTGAGCCACCCAGGCACCCCATTTTTTTTTCATTTTTAATTTTTGGAGAGTGTGCGTGCAAGCAGAGGAGGGGCAGAGGGAGAGAGAGAATCCCAAGCAGGCTCCATGCCGACCCTGATGTGGATCTCAATGCTATGACCCTGGGATCATGGCCTGAGCCAAAATCAAGAGTCAGACACTCAACCACCTGAGCCACTCAGACACCCCAACGATGTATTAGTCTGATGTGGGGAGGCCATGATGTATGCTGTTAGAGCACACCGCCTTTAATTCTGAGGTCTGGGTTGGAATCCTGCAACTCGTGCTTATAGCTGTGTAACCCTTAGCAAGTTACTTAACCTTTCTGTGCCTCCCATTTCCACATCTTCCCCCCCGCCCCACATCTTTCAATTAGGAATAATGGTACCTACCTTACAGAGAGGTGTGATCTTCATTAAATAAAATAATTGGTACAGAGAACTTAGCAGAATACCTAGCATATGGTGAGTGCTCACTAAAGGCAGTAAGTATTAGCTAGTGTTAGTAAAAATATGTAATTACTTTGTGTGGCTGGTATACATTTTTATGACTGGAGTCTTACCACTTTATCTTTAATCATTTGTACTTTCCATGGTAGGAGATTTTCTTGTATGATACATTAATGTATCCATTCTACAAATGATTGCTGAGGCCTGACACATACAACAATTTTGAGTTTAAAATTGTAGGACAAAACACATATCTAAAGTCATAGAATGTTGGAGCCAGGAGAGAGTGGTCAGCGTACAAAGAGATTAATTGATTTGCCCAAGATCTCACAGATGATTACTGAGGGAACTGAGAAGTATTTTGAAAATAGCAGAAAGACCTTCACTCTGAACATCAGGTGACCTGTGTTGTTTCAGCCTGACTTCATCATTTCTGTGTCTGTGTAACCTTGAGGGCACCTCTTCATCTCAGCTTTACATTCCTTATCTTGCAATCAGAAATAACACCAGCCTTAACTATGTCAGGGGCATTGGTAGGTATGTACTTAAAAAAAAACCAGAATGGAAATGAACCCCTAAAACTCCATAGCACTGATGCCCATATTCTTTATCTGATTTCAGTGCTTCCTTCCTTCACCAAGACCCCCATGGACCTTACCATCCGAGCCGGGGCAATGGCACGTCTGGAGTGTGCCGCCCTGGGGCATCCAGCCCCACAGATAGCCTGGCAGAAGGACGGGGGCACAGACTTCCCTGCTGCGAGGGAGAGACGCATGCATGTTATGCCTGAGGACGATGTGTTCTTTATTGTGGATGTGAAGATAGAGGACATCGGGGTTTATAGCTGCACAGCTCAGAACAGTGCAGGAAGCATTTCTGCAAATGCAACTCTGACTGTCCTAGGTAAGTGGCTGTTGTCAGGTTCCGTGATGTAAGTTAATCTTAAAGATAACTAGCTCCCCCAGAGGCCCTAAGTGTCCCAAGTTGTGAGGGTGAGAGGTAATCCATAAGACACTGCCTTCCCTTGGAGAGGGCGGATGGCTTCTTGAGAGCTCGACGTGGGGAGTGCATTACATCTTCTAGCCCGAGGCCAGTGAGATGAATCTGCTTCTTCTGTTCCGAGGGCAGGAGAAAAGTAAATGCTTTGAAGCTTCCCCTTTTTGGAGTCACCTTTTCCTCTGCCCTCCTCTTCCCATTGCCCAGTCTCTACCAATAATCCTAACACTATAAAAAATATTTAAGGAAAAAAAAAAACATGTGAGCAGATTGGGAAGGACCTGCTCTCTTTTCGTGGCCTGCCCTGCCATTCTGGAAATCAGGAGTTTGTCTTTTACCTTTTGCCTAAACGGCAGCTTTTTAAGCATTTGAATATGTTAATCATCTGTGTATCTTTGAAAGAGTTGAGCAAAGTAACCTATGAATACCAGAAAATAAAAATACTTTCATAATTTAAATATAGGTTTTTGGACATCTAGCACTAGAAAGTTTCCCTTTAAAACATTTAAACATTCTGAAATCTTTCCTCCATCAACACATCCCCCTGCTTAAAATTATTTTTATATATCTTCTGTTTCTAAGAAATGTCTAAAATGTTTCACATTGCCTTTCTTCCACAATTCCCAATCTTGCCAAGAGTGAGAGAGGCTGAGATTTGAAAAATAGTAAATATTATCCTTAACAGGTGTCACAATAAATGACAGCCAAATAATGAAATGAAATCCCAAATGTTGTATACACATTTAGGCTCTTAAAGAAGTGTACACATTAAGATGTGGAAGAATACATTGTTAGGTGCCAATTTTAGTAAATTGAACTAGTGGGTCTTATGATATGCAAAACCTAATTTCATTTAGATTAAAAGCATAACTTGTCATTTCAGAGACACCATCCTTTCTGCGGCCCCTGTTGGACCGAACTGTAACCAAGGGAGAAACGGCCGTCCTGCAGTGCATTGCTGGAGGTAGCCCTCCTCCCAGATTGAACTGGACCAAGGATGACAGCCCTTTGGTGGTCACCGAAAGGCACTTTTTTGCAGCAGGCAATCAGCTGCTGATCATTGTGGACTCTGATGTCAGCGATGCTGGGAAGTACACGTGTGAAATGTCTAATACCCTTGGCACTGAGAGAGGCAACGTGCGCCTCAGTGTGATCCCCACTCCCACCTGCGACTCCCCTCAGATGACCGCTTCGTCGTTAGACGACGACGGATGGGCCACCGTGGGCGTCGTGATCATAGCAGTGGTTTGCTGTGTGGTGGGCACGTCGCTCGTGTGGGTGGTCATCATATACCACACAAGGCGGAGGAACGAAGATTGCAGCATTACCAACACAGGTGTGTAAACAGAAGCTTGGCACAGCAGGCCGTCGTCATGTGTGTTTGTGGTCCCGTGGTAATTTTCGTCTAGAATGTGTGTCTCACATCCTGAGGCCATGGCAGAGGGGTGACTCACTTGTTGCAAGCTGCAGAAATATGGTTAGCTAAAAATAACACCTCAGCCCCAAAGAAAGCTGACGTTTAAAGATTAATCCTTTTTGTTAAAACCTCATCAGAATATCCTGTTGGCTGTGAGATACAGCCCAAATCACAGAGTAAAACAGACTCACTCTTTCACATGGTGGTGATGGAGAACAGGAGCAGCCCTTCAGCTGTGAGCTTTACACGCTGACGTAGTTCTTTGTCTTGTCATGTGCGTGCAGCCATCTGGGGAGGATCCTGTTATTAGTGGGAGGGGGCTGTCACTTGACTAATATGTGCAGACTCCTCTGCTGGTAAATATTAAGTTGGAAAAATGGCAGAAATCAAGCTTAATTCAAGAGCTTAGATACATCCCATGAAAATTCCTAAGCCTTTATTTTTTGAAATGAAATTTGGGAGGGGTATTCTGGAGAAGATCAGTAGAAAATGGGCTTGTGCTCGCCGAGCAGCAGACAGAAAGCCCTAATCTTCCTTACCTAAATACTATACAATCAAGATGGGTTTTCAGGAGTAGGTTTACTTGATTTGTACAGAAACCCAAACAGTATTTACTGTTCATCAAGGAAGGCTGTGGGGTATGTATGGTCATCCTGGGTTAACAGAGTGCTGTTGTTGGATTGTAGATGAGACCAACTTGCCAGCAGATATCCCTAGTTATTTGTCATCTCAGGGAACCTTAGCCGACAGGCAGGATGGGTACATCTCCTCAGAAAGTGGAAGCCACCACCAGTTCGTCACTTCTTCAGGAGGCGGATTTTTCTTACCGCAACACGACAGTAACGGTAAGTGTTTAAAATGAACACGGGCTATAGTTGTTTTGAAATAATTTGATGGAAGGCTGAAGTACAGTTCAAGAAATCGATACACTCATATATTCAGGAACTGGCCTAGCATCACTAGCAAAGCTTGAAATTAAATACTTTTATGCTGTTCTCTTAAATACTGGAAAAATCTTTGTTTCTGATAATAATAGAAGACCAATAGAAGAACTAAAGTTTAATTTCCCCATGCAACGCAGTATTTTCTTTACACCGTAAATGCTCTTTGGCCCTGAACGTTCTCCTTTTTTAAATGGCGTTAACTGGTTTCATGTATGGTCTTAAAAGTCAAATGAGAGGAATCAAATTCTGACTCTTTAAGAACTGTATGGTTTTGGGGCACCTGGGTGGCTCAGTCGGCTTCCAACTTCGGCTTCCAACTTCAGCTCAGGTCATGATCTCACAGTTCCTGGGTTTGAGCCCTGCATTGGGTTCTGTGGTGACAGCTCAGAGCTTGGAACCTGCTTTGGATTCTGTGTCTCCTCTCTCTCTGCTCCTTCCCCACTCACATTCTGTCTTTCTTTCAAAAATAAGCATTAAAAAAAGAACTGTGTGGTTTTAAGAATAACCATGGAGGCAGCATAAGACAAGCACGCAGGCTTGGTTCAAGACCCACTTCTGACACTTACTCCCTGTGTATCTTGGGCATTTCTATAGTACTTATTAGGTTGTTGTGAAATCAAAATGATACTGGAAAACTGCATAGTGCTCGGCACATAGTAAAGGGCTCAAAAAGTGAAAGCTATTGACATTCTTTTCAAACATTTTACCATCTTGTCCCACAAGCATTTATGGAATATCTGCTTTGTGGTGGACTCTGTAGTCAAGAGGGAAGATACTTGTTTTCAGTCTCATAGTATAGTCAGTGATGAGACAAAAATTTCAACAAATAATCACAAAGTGCTTGGCAAGGCAGTGGTGTAGAGATAGAAGATTTGCACACCCAAGTGGGCGTTCTGGTTGGGCTCATTTGGTTGCAAAGGGCAGAAGCCCAAGCTTGTTCAAATGTAGCAGGGTTTACCAGAGACATTTATGAAAGTTTAAAGCAACAGAACTGGAACGCAATAATGCTGTCACGTGGGTGCTGGGGCTGGAGATTGGTGCTGTCAGCAGCTCCAGAGGCCACCAGCATCACTGATCACATTCTGCACAGTCTCTTCTCTCGAAGACTGCCCGGTTCCTACTTCTCAGGCACGTGGCCTATCATGGCATCTCTCACCTGCACCGCATCTCTTGTCCTCCTTCTACTGTGGCCACTGCTAACTGGCATATCATTTCTGGGTTTTTTGGCTCAGATACTCACAGTAGGGATTTTTTTTTCTTTTTTGGCCGAGCTCATCTTTGAGCTGGGCATTCAGAGATCATTTGCTGAAGGCCCCTTCCTCATCCTGCTCACCTGTGACATTACGGAGGAAGGGGGCAGTGCTGATGCCATCATGTGTTTCAGACCATGGCTGCTTTAGGTGCTTTACGCAGACACAGATCAGTTTCTCTCGTAAGCCGGGCGGGGAGGCTCACTGAGGTGAACACGTCCGTATGATGGTTAATCAAGTACTCTTTCTGTAAGATGGCACGGATTTAGTTAGTTACTAATCCATAGGCCTCAGTAAATTTCCTGCTATAAATTTCTGCAATTTATTTCTTTTATATGTCATTCTATCCAAAATTTTTATCTCTAAATAATGGAAAATACCAAAAGTGGAGACAGTGTTGAAGGATACTTGAATCAAATTCATTTGGTGACCGAGATGTCTGTTTTAAAGGAACGTGCAATATCGACAATAGCAGTGAAGCCGATGTGGAAGTTTCCACGGATCCATTCCTTTGTCCCTTTTTGGGACCCTCAGGCCCTGTGTATTTGAAGGGGAATGTATGTGGCTCCGATCCTTTTGAAGCCTATCATACAGGTATGTGGTTTTCTTATCTGAGCTCTGTTTCCTGGAGAGATTTTCAGAAGCACTAACTCTGGCTCTTTCTGATAATGTCCCCAAATTCGAAAGGCTGTGGCCCAGACCTGAGAACAGCTTTAATGGACCACTGTGAGCCCAGTCACATAAAGAAAAAGGAGTGCTACCCATGTCCTTATCCTTCAGAAGAATCCTGTGAACAGAATGGCAGTGATGTAGGATGGCCTTCACATGTGAGGAAATTAATCAACTCCACTTACTCTCAGAATGAAGGACCCGGAATGAAAAGTTTGTGTCTAAACAAGTCCTCTTTAGATTTCAGTCTAAGTCCAGAGCCAGCATCAGTTGCTTCAAGTAATTCTTTCATGGGTGAGTTTATTAACTTAGTAGACCCCTCAACTCAGGACTCACATTGCATGTTGTATGTGGGAGAGCAGTGAGCGCCTCAGATGCCAAACTTGTGAAGAGTGTTTTGTCATTATTGTTGAAATGGTGTTGTCATGACATCCTGTGAGTTAGTACACGTGTTTCTAAAGGCGGAGTCAGCCACGGGGGATTTTCCTTGATTATATATGTAATCCGTAAGTAAGCCCTAGGAGCTTTCTGGTTAACACTGTGTGTGGCATCATCTAGAATACAAGAATTTGGGGAGTGACTTAGGAGCTCCATTTGTCAGCCATGTGGAAAAAGTGGTTTTGGGCTACAGCAGCTTTTGGGGTGGAGTTGTGCGCGCTGCATGATTGTGGTTTGGGCTGTCTGGTGGCGCTCACACTTGGACCATGGTCGGAGGGTGGACAGCGTCCCGCCTGGCAACATCTGCCCGTCTGCCAAGCTGGACTGCTTTGGCGGAGGAGCCCATCAGAGCCTTAAAGCCCAAGTTGGTGGTGGTAGACACTGGCTAGTGCCAAGACTCATTTGTGAGTTTTTTGGTCTAGTGCTTCAGACAGGCAACGGATAGAACTGAGGCCATCTTTTCACTGAGTGAGGATATGGGAAAATGAACCACAAATTATCTTGTTTTTAAAAAATGGAATTTTAAAACTGTTTACCAGCTTTTAAGAAATTTTGTTTTGTCACAGTGTAACTACTTATATTCCTTCTTTTAACAATGAAAATATCTTTTATATGACTATGACAAGAATTTGAGTCAAATAATATTTTGTTAGTGAAGAAGAAAGGGCAAGGCATAAGGATGATTTTGAGAGAAAGTTTCTGTATCTAGGCACAATTTACTTGTAACCAACAATCCAAATCTCCTTCATGGAAAATTGTGGACCCTTCAGTAACAAAGCTAGGATTTGGAAGAACTTATATTGGGGAACTTCATTGCACAGTGATTAATGTTACTGTAGGTTATGAAATGCAACGATTGGACATATGTGTTCATTCCTCAGCTCCGTTCCGTAAGTTCTCTCTCCATAACACAGATGCACATATACCTGAAACCATAAATGACTTGTACAAAACACTTATTTGTGCTCACTGGGTAAGATGCTCCTTCATTTAAAATGTGTTTTGATATCCATACTAGCCAAAGGACCCATATGTTAAGGGGTCTTTTTTGTTTTGTTTTGTTTGTTTTTTGTTTTCTTTCAGGAACGTTTGGAAAGCCTCTGAAGAGAGCTCACCTGGATGCTTTTTCAAGCTTTGGACAGCCATCAGATTGTCAGCCAAGAGCGTTTCACCTAAAAGCTCGTTCTTCTCCAGACTTGGACTCTGAGTCAGAGGAATATGGGAAAGAAAGGACAGATTTTCAGCAAGAAAATCACACGTGTACCTATCAACAGACCTTAGAAAACCATAGGACTCCAAATTTTCAGTCTTATGACTTGGACACCTAGACTGAGTAGGAGCAAAGAAGAGCTCTAACATACTACCTCAAGCAGACTTTTATTTAACAGAGAGAGAATCCTATGTTTTTAAATGGAGTTATGAATTTTAAAAGGATAAAATGTCTTATTTATACAGATGGACCAAAATTACAAAAAGTTATAAAAAATTTTATACTGGGAGTAACTTTCATATAAGGATACCTTTTTAAACTATTTTAACTTTGTTTTATGTGAAAAAAAATCTTAATGTAAATTAATGGTATGAATCCATGACTATTTTATGTATTTTTATAATGCCAGATTTCTTTTTATTGAAAATGAGTACTAAAACATTTTAATTAATACCTGTCTTGTACCTTTTTTGAATAGAGGTCACTTCATTTTATTTTGCACATTGCATTTAATAAAATGTGTCATTTTGATCCCAAGCCCCATCTATACAATTACAGTTTTTGTTGTTCTCAACACATTTTAGGCTTAATAATTTCATATTATCATGTCCAAATTGAAGGAAATTCTACTTAGCACATTAAAATATGAGCCAAAACTGACCATTCTGCCTATCACACAGAGTTGAGGTAATGCAAACTCAAATCAGATTAGTGTATATAAAAGCACATTGTAAACGAAAAAGAGTACAAAGATTTGAGGTATATTAATTTATTTCTAACTTTACAAACAAAGATTACAAACAACGAAAAAGAGCTACAAAGATTTGAGGTGTATTAATTTATTTCTAACTTTACAAACAAAGATTTGTTGGTATAGTCTGGTATAATATAGTGCAACCACCATTGCTTAAATCACTGCCCAAGCCATGTTTCTTTAATTATAATAATGCCCTATGTGGCCTGATGCCTTGTGCTTTTCCAAATAGTTTCACATTTACCATCCCTTTAATTATAACAAGAGCATGGTTTACTGCACATTTCTGTAGTTAAAGTGGCTATAACAGAGGTGATTTTCATTTACTGTTCCAGGTTATAGTGGGATGCTGATAGAAATCTTGGCTATTTTTTACTGATTTTGTGTTGGATGAGCAGTTCTTATAAAAAAGGTACTTTTAAGCTATTCTAAAGAATTAAAATATTTTCCTAATTTGGTTATCCTGCTTTTGGTAAAAACTGAGTATCAAATCTGTTACTTAAACTATTTAAAATATTTGTTTTAAATAGTATTTAAGTGAAAATGTCATTACATGGTGCATATATACACACAAAACATGAATATAGTCATCTTTAAAATTAAGTGACATTATTTCAATTACTTGAAATAAACTTAAGTCTACTAATTCAGGTGATGAAATTGGATTTTTTAAAGGCAATTCTTGTTTACGTCTATAGTTTAAAGACCAATCCTCTTGCCCAAGAATAGTTAAATATATATGGGAAGAGTTAATGCACAGCACATTAAGCTTTAAAATCCAACCTGATGAAGGTGTGAATTTATGCCATTTTCAGTCCTTTGAACTAAAGTGAAAGCAGTTGGTAGAAAAGCAGATTCTTCTCGGAGGATATGTTGGGGGGGGTGACGTTTTCCTGCTTAGGGAGTGTCCAGTTTTGTCGTCTGTGAGCCAGAAACGACCCCAGACTGTAGTAAGAGTTTCTTCCTTTAATGTAGACACCAGAGTCTAGGACAGGAAGTTGATCCTTCCTTGGACCACCAGTGACTACGTGCAGAGAAGTGATTTTGTATGCTTTGGCTTTATCATATTGCCAGACTTTCAAAATCTTATTAACTTGTCTTCATTATTGCCAGATGTGTTGCAAGCATTGATGGGGGCCTATTCAATGATTAAGAACTTCTTTTAAAGGATTTCATTTTTCCGGACTTAGCCACAAAGGTTTAAATCATTAACACTTGAAATTCAAAAATTATATTCATTCTACTTTAATATGATTTTTCCCTTTTACTCTGTGTGTATATATGGATTACAGATAATTTTAGCTGTGTGGAAAAACAGGAGCTCAATTTCTCTTTGACATTTGCAGGAAAAGAACGTATATAATCACAAAATGAATCTAGTAAGTATTAATATATCCTAGAATAATACAGACTTCAGAAAAAGATAAATACCAAATCATTTAGTTTATGAAAAATAATGCCTAAAATTTTTCAATGTAATCTTTCTGTGCTGATAAAGACTAATTCACATACAACATATCTTAATAGATGTTCACGCCACTTTCATAGTGTTTTCTTCATTACCAGTGCTAATGATAACATCGTTACTGTGTGTAAGCTCAACCTGTTTTTTAAGATATTCGGAGATACGGGGTGCCTGGGTGGCGCAGTCGGTTAAGTGTCCGACTTCAGCCAGGTCACGATCTCGCAGTCTGAGTTCGAGCCCCGCGTCGGGCTCTGGGCTGATGGCTCAGAGCCTGGAGCCTGTTTCCGATTCTGTGTCTCCCTCTCTCTCTGCCCCTCGCCCGTTCATGCTCTGTCTCTCTCTGTCCCAAAAATAAATAAATGTTGAAAAAAAAAATTAAAAAAAAAAAAAAAGAACCCAGAACAGGATCTGGCTCATTGTAGATGTTTAATAAATATCTAGAAAAAAAAAAATAAATAAGATATTCGGAGATAAAGGTTATATAATTGTGGCAGGCAACATTAAAAAAATTTTTTTAATGTTTATTTTTGTGAGAGACCGAGTACGAGCAGTGGAGGAGCAGAGAGAGAAGGAGACCCAGAATCCGAAGCAGGCTCCAGGCCCTGAGCTGTCAGCACAGAGCCTGACTCGGGGCTCAAACCCAGAAACCGTGAGATCATGACCTGAGCCAAAGTCGGACACTTACCCGACAGCCACCCCGGTGCCCCAGCAATATTTTGTAATGTCTAGTCTGTGGAACGTTTACAACTCACTTTCACAGTCCTCTTAACAGAAGCCAGAAATTACTTCTCAGAATAAAGCCAATGGTACTATTTTTAAAAACTTGATGTCAAAAAGGAAAGTGAATTGCTATTTGTACACACCTGAAGGGTGTTAGTCCTTTTGATTTAATGTGATAGGAAGTAATTTATAACCAACATTACAATAGATGTGCTACAGGGGTATTTTTCAAGAAGGAGAACCAAATGTCACCACAGAGAGCCTGCTGTGTGCCTCCCACTCTCGGAATCTGCAGTGGTTGGACTTGTGTAATAGGATAATTTAGAACTCACTATTTTTTAAGACGGCATTCCATGAACACATTGAATAGCTCAGCGTCCTGCCAAAAAAACTATTAGAGTCTTCAAAGAGGGGTACGGTTTCTTCATGAATTGAATTATTTCAATATTTGAGAAATATCCAGTTACCAGAGCTTACCTTTTTCCATGAGGCACTTTTTAAACTAATGTATAAAAAGAAAGTCTTTTAACAGAGAAATATTGATCCCAATATTTGGGACCATTTGGTTTGTTTTTGTTTTTGTTTTTGGTTTTTTTTTGAGAAATCTGATAATTGGTGTCTTTTAATAAAGATGTTTGATTTAACTTGAGATGTATTACTGAGATTAAAAAAACATGAAAATCTATATTATAGATTGAAATGTATACAGTTTCCCCAAATCTCTCTATTGTAAAAATTTCAAGATAATTTATTTCTACCGGTTTTAGTGTCTAGGGTCCGAATTCTGTATCCTCCCATATGATGATTGATATCCATGAGCATAAGAAATTATAATCAGTATTTGCATGTAGCCTTTTATTAGAATTACATGTTTTAGTTAAAGAATTTTTAAGAATACATCTTAATAAGGCAAAGCAATCCACAATTGTTACAATTTCACTCTTGGATTTCTATAATTTTCATATATCTCTGTTGGGTTTTATGGTTGATTTTGGCTTTTAACAAGTAAACTTTTTTTTTTAATCCTGTTTAAACGTAACACCTAATGCCTTCATGAGATTATTGTCATTGTTTTGGTAGTTACTGTGATATTTCTGCATATGGTTTTGTTTTGATCTATCTACAGCTCAGAGTGGAAATTCGATAACACACTCTCAATCGTCAGACATTTCTTATATACTTAGTTGTATGTATATTTTGAATCAGTGATAGAGAAATGAGTAAAATCCTTGTCCTAATTAATCAGAGGGACAGGAAGCAGGTTCATAAATACTTATGATACCTTGCGTTAAATGCTATAGCTTTGGCCCCTGTAGCTATTTTTGAACTAACTTTGTAATTTTAATGGAACTATCTACAAGTGTTAAATGCACTTCACTCCGCGTGTCCTAGAACAAGTTGATTATCCAGGTTTCCCACCTGCATCCTAGAACAATTTCATTTCTGGTACTCCCTTCCATGTTTAATCATCAGTAATCACCACTCCTATTGATTTTGCACCTGAATGTCCTCAAGATGGTTTATGCCTTCCCTCTTAGCCCATTGCCACTGCCAACTTCAGACCCTCATCTGTCTTTTGTCCTTTGTCTCTCTCCTACCCGATTCATTGTTTCACAAAATTAGTTTTCTAAACTAGATCTGAATCGGTCACTTTCCTGTTTAAAAACCATTGATGGCTAAGCTTTAAATCCCATTTATGGTGTATAAGATCTTTCACTCATAGATCCAGCCCACCCTTCAAACCGTACCTGCTTTGCAACCCCCTACTCCCAGCTTTTCAGAGAACAGTACAGTACCCCTGGCCAGCCCCTATGCACCTCTGTGGTTTATATTGACACATGTACAGCCTAAAGTTGAAATTTGGCAACAACACTCTTGTCCTTGTGTGTATTTTCTCATTTTTGTTTTTGCAAACTTTTTTTTGAGTACTCTCAGGTGCTATCTTAGATGCTTGGGCTATTAAATACTAAAATTAAATATTTAAATACTCATAAATATTTTTCTCCAAAGAAACTCCTAGACATACGAAAAAATTATTGTCCTGAAATGTTTATTTTTCTTCTGTTAGAATCCAGAGGCTCCTTGAAAAGCAAGCTTTTACTTTTTGCCCCACACGTAGCAATGTTTTCCCATAGAACTTCATATGAACTGTCATGAGAGTAGCACAGGAAGCTGTTAGTTACAAAGCCAGCTGTGATGTCATTGTATGAAAAATACTAAGAACAGTTAACCTGTGTGTCAGTAGGACGCCTTCTAGAAAGAACTAAAGGAAGTCAAAAGATCTTTGTTTCTTTTTCAAACAATCACCAGATGATTTGGTCCAGCAGTCAGCAGGAAAATAATTTCCTGTTCAGTTTACTAAAAGTAAACAGGTGGCCAGGTGTGTCAACAGATTTTTATTTGGGTAGGAACTGCACATATGGCCGCCCAGCTACTGTGTATTTCTCAGTCACCTTGCATTTAGGTGTGTCTATCGCTGTGTGACTTTTCCCCCCAGTGGAATGTGAACAGAAGTAGAAAGCCTGGACCCATAACCTTTACTTACAAGCACCCATCCATGTCCTTTTCCTGCAGCTGTCTGATTGGAAAGCCATAGCCAAGAGCTGCTCTTCCTTGACTTCACCTGTAGGAGAGACTGGGTCTCTGAATGGCTGAATGGAATACGGTCTCCCCACCAACCTGGGATATTTGCTTTGAAGACTAGCAACATAAGTGAGGAAAAAAGTGCTTATTGCACTTGAACATGGCATTTGGGGTGTATTTATAACAGCTTGTCCTGCCCCTGCTTGAAATCATATTTTAATATGAAGAACAGCCCAAGATGCTCATTGACTTTGTTCTTCATTAATTTATCAAGCTCCCTTTTAAAAATGAACAGCTTGGCCTCAATGACCAGCCCTAACATAGATGCCAGGACTTGGGTTCCACTGTTGTGGTGGGTCACTAAGTCCTTGACCCTGCTAGCATTTACTGAGCATCCTCTTGCAGTGGTACATCCCACCGCTGTTACAGTGTCCTCTCTTTCCACCTCAACCATGGATATACTTTTAAAGGAGGCTTATTGAGTGTATTTGGTCATACAGATTTTTGCAACTGTGTTTCAAGGTCTCTTAACACATGAGTACCAGCAATGTGATAGACTCTTGGGATATCAAAAGTCAGTGAGACATGGCCTGGATCACTGAAGGATTCTTCTTTTCAGGAGGTCACACCCTGATAAAACAGTGATGATTTTCTTATGGTAAAATTCTCAATAAAAGTAGGTATTAATATAATCAATAGTGGATGTGATTTGCCTTTCTCGGGACACAAGTAGTTACAAGCTTATCACAACCAGGAGAAGAAAAAAAAACCTGTTGCCTACACAGTGTAGCTCCTTTTGAGTGGCTTTATCATGTATCATATTACATGGATGCTAATACCCGAGAAGCTCTATGCGAATAATAACAGCTATATAGGGA